TATTTCTAAACACATAACACACATAATTAATTTTTGTCTGGAAATAGGTTATTTTCCTTCAAATTGGAAAACATCTCTTGTAAAGCCCCTTCCAAAAATTCAAAAACCCTTACATTTTTCTGATCTACGACCAATATCGTTACTTCCTGTTTTATCAAAGGTTTTGGATAAAATTATCCAAGCTCAGGTATATCAATTCATATATTATCAAAAACGAAATAATTTCTTCATCACAATCTGGTTTTCGCAAGGGCCATTCCACTACTACCATTTTAGCAAACGTGACTGATAATATTTTAAGATCTTTAGATGAAGGTAATGCAAGCGTTCTTGTACTCTTGGACTTTTCAGAGGCGTTTGATACCTTGGATCATAATCTGCTTTGTGCTATACTTAAATTCTTTGGTTTTGAGGATATAACAGTTAACTTTTTTAAAGCGTATCTGTCTAATCGTAAGCAATTTGTTTTATTGGAAGATGAGGTATCTGAAGCTTGTAGTATCACCTCAGGGGTACCTCAAGGCTCAGTTTTGGGTCCCACCCTATTCCTTATATACACTGCCGATATAATAAACTTTGTAAATAACGGTTCTATTCTATGTTATGCGGACGACACGCAATTGCATTATAGTTTTACTCCTAAAAATGTAATTAATGTTAGAAATCAAATAAATATTGATTTGCAGTCAATTTGTGCATTCTCACAAAACCATAAATTTTGATAAATGCTCTATATTGCAGTACAACTCTGAGACCTTTTATTTGTAGGGAATTAATATTAAAAATAAATGACACAAATTTAAATATATTTAAATTTGTGTCATTTATTTTTAATATTAATTATTAATTAATTAATTATTATTAATTATTATATTAATTAATATATTCAAAATAAAGTAAAAAATTTGGGCATCATTATGGATGATAATTTGCGTTTCAAAGATCATGTAAGCTCGCTCGTAAAAAAATCGTATGTATCTTTAAAAATATTATATACAAACATAAATATTTTAAATTTTAAAGTAAGAAAAAAACTTTGTGAGAGTTTAGTAATCGCTGTGGCTCCCGTCCCGAGGCGGGACTTAAGTTCAGTCCCGATTGACGTCATAATTTTAAGATTTGTTATGTTATAATAAAATAATAATAATAATAAATTGTACCTGTATACATGTTAAGGGCACGTTAGTTACGTCATAAAACCAAACCAACCCAAACTCAACAACACAACCCAACCGACCCCGCCCCATTGGCCCCATTGAGCAAAAAACCCAACTAAAATGGGCAAATTTATGTTACGATAAAAATAAAACACTTTTTAACAAAGAAACAACAAATTTATAAAATAAAAAAAGTTTGACAACTTCTAGTAGAATCGAACCCGGTACCTCTCGCATGCCAAGCGACCGCCCTACCATCTAAGCCATCCAGCTTGACACCAATAATAAAAGCTCGGGGAATAAAAACGGATTTACATTGTGTGACGTCTGTCGGGATCGAAGTTAAGTCCCGCCTCGGGACGGGAGCCACATCGTTTAGTAATATCTATTTTAAATTATTGTAATATAGTTTATTACCCTTGTCTCGACAAGCTAACTAAGTTACGTTTGCAAAAAATTTTAAATAGCTGCTGTAGATTTGTTTTTAGGTTAAGAAAATATGATCATGTTTCCTTGAAGATAAGGGAACTGGGCTGTCTTAATGTAGAAAATATGTTTAAGCAGAGATTAAGTATAATTTATCAATATTCACTCACAATATTTTAAAAACCTCTATTTTGATGCATGTAGGAAAGTTTATTTAACAAATAGGGTGGATTATAATCCACCCTATTTGTTAAATAAACTTTCCTACAGGCATCAAAATCATGACGTTAATTTAAGATTTGTAGATCTACTCTCATTACCTAGATATCATTTAGCCATGTTTTGTCGATCTTTCACTTATAATGCCGTAACTATAATGGATTAAGCTCAGATTTAAAATTGTTAAAAGCAAATAAATTTCGTGTCAAAGTTAAATCACTATTTTTTTCTACTTAATAAATCTATTGAGTAAGTGTTCTTGTAATTGTAAAATTTTCAATACTTTTGTTTTGTGTATAACTTATACAGTATAAGTATAATTAAACATAAGGTTTACATGATGTTATTATTTTAAGTTCTATAGGTAGGGTGAAGTGGGGTAAATGCACCCACCCAAGTGCAAAACACAAATTGAATCGTTAATAAAATTCTTTACAACAATGGTAAGAGTCCAGTCTTTGGCATGTATACAACTCCCTTAGTGGTGTATCTCATGGCAGATCTAAACTCTGCGTTAAAGGTAATATGCCACCACAGCTATTTTTTTTGTAAAAATATATACATGTGGGTGCACTTGCCCCATATTTGGGGCAAGTGCACCACCACCGGTTAGTTCCCATATTATAAGTACGAACGTATACACGGGGCAAGTGCAACAAACTCACAGTTTTGTGAATTTTTTGCAATTTACCGCAATTAAATTGACTTATTGGTTATAAAGTTATTACATTTAACTCGAATATTAGGAAAGTTATCTGGCAAAAAAAATCCATGATTACAAACTGATAGTTTTTATTCTCAACTGTTTATGAAATAATCAAACAAAAATACAATACTATTAAAAAACAAAGATAGGTAAACTTCATACAGTAAATTAATAATTAATATTATAAAGCGGAAAACTGATGTCAAACTTCATTTTGCCTCTTCTTCCTATGGTACCTATGAAAAAAATGTGCTTAGAAACAAGAACATACGGAACTGCGTAGGCCGAAACTAACTCCGGGGAAAGTGGGCGCACTTTCCCCCATGAAGGTAGGTGCACTTGCCCAATAAGAGAAAATTTTGGGGCAAGAGCACCTACCCCTTCAAAGTTAGCTTATTTTACAGTAAAGGTAATTTTGCATATTAGTTTACTTAAAACACATATAAACTTTCAAAATAAATATCTAATAATATCTTTACACATACCTTAGCTCCAGTAATAAGTGTTTTTTTCACAGAACTGCGCATTTAACACGCGAGTAAAAACGACAACACTCAATCAAGTCGCCATTCTTTGTTAACCAATTTGATTTCGGTAAAGAAGGGATGTGTATTTTAGTGGAAAAGAGTCATGCTCTCGCACTTACCAGAGGGTGCCACCGCAGGTTGAATAGTTTTTTTTTTAAACCCAATTGGTGCACTTACCCCAAAAGCGAACTTACCCCACTTCACCCTAATAGGAATTTTTTGTTATTTTTAAATTAGTACCAATGTTATTTGAGTTTTGTAATTTAAAAATTGTATTTTTGTTTTGGAGGTTAAGTGGAATAGCTAGACTTCGCCTCGTTAAATAAAGACGTTTTTTTATTATTATTATTATTATTACCTATAGGTATACCTATTCATGCAAGTAATTTATTATATATTTTATTTAATAAATAGCCTAAACATTATTTAACTGCAAGCACGTGCGAAATTAAATTAATTTAAAGTAACATGCATTTATGACTGCAAAAAAAAACAAGATTGAATGCAAAAATATATCCTAACTTTTTAAGCGTACCAAATATAACAAAAACTTAATCGAGTAGGTAATCAAATACAAAATAATATTTAAAATCCTACTTACCCCAGTATAACAAAAACCAAAACACTTAAAATAATACTAATGCATATTCTGTATTGCAGAATAACCTCAAATTTCTTAAAAAAAACCGTTTGATACGACATTATGACGGCACTACCAAAGATAAAAAGGGCACTACCTCTCGTAATATGTAATATCTCTATAAAGTAGGGCACCACAATGATATTTTACCAACTTGCCCATGGGATATCGAGGATTTATTCCGAATATTGCCGAACCAATAAATTTTAGCTGCTAAAGCATTATAATTATGGCGATAAATTTGAATATGTAGTAGTGGTTATGTTAACTTAACACAAAGATGCCGAGTACAAAAAGTACTCCAGTAAGTACATTAAATGTACTCGAGTACAAAAAATGTACTCGAGTACAAAAAATGTACTCAAGTACAAAAAATGTACTTGAGTACAAAAAATGTACTCGAGTACAACCAATGTACTCGTGTCCATTTTTACATTTTTAATTTAAATAAGTACAAGTACAAGAACTTTTTTTGAAATTTACTCTGGACTGTGTACCGAGTACATAAAAAGTACTTAAAGTACAAAATTTGAGTACAAGTACTTGAGTACCGCACAGCTCTAATACCATGGCAACACTGTTATGCACTTGCATAGTTCAGAGAAAAACCTTAAGGTTATAAATTTAAATTATGGCACTATGACATCAAATGAATTTCTGTGAAATCACCTGGACCTCACCTGGAGCTCATTAGCTGAATCATTGCTGAGCTCATCCTGAGTTCTTGATGAGATCATTTGTGAAATTAATTTCACAAATGATCTCATCAAGAACTCAGGATGAGCTCAGCAATGATTCAGCTAATGAGCTCCAGGTGAGGTCCAGGTGATTTCACAGAAATGCATTTGATGTCATAGTGAGTTCACTGTGAGCTCACGCGATGATTATCACTGAGTGATTTTTTGAGTCATAAATGTTATCTGGGGAGTCACCTTCGAATGCACTTGCGCTCTATTTTCATAAATGTCAAATTATTTTTTTATGTACTCTGATAAAGATTCATACAATACGTATACGGTTGATTCAATCATTGTATCAACCGTATTACAATGTTATTTTTACCTAATTGAAGCATATGCTGTTTCAAATTTCATTTTCAAATTAATAGTGTCGCTTTATTATTTAAAAAAAAAATTGCCTCCCTTGGATTTTGCCACGCTGGGCTACAGACCCTATGGCCCTCCTTAAAATTAAACCATGATATTATTTCACATTTTAAAAATTAGATATAATAAAATTGAAAACCACTTATTTTGTATAAATTTACACGACTTCGAGTTCTTGAAAATAATACAACAATTTTATTTAAAAAAAATTTTTTTTAGACTTGTGCTGTTTCTGGCAGATCTTATACACATGGGATGCTGCGTATGTTAGTAAATAAATGTTCGCAAGCTTTACTGGGACACTGTGGGCTAAAACCAAGAGACGTTATTGGATTACTTCTTCCAAACATTCCAGAATTTTTAATTATTTGCCATGGGGCAATGGAAGCTGGCCTTACTGTTACTTTTGTCAATCCTTTATATACACCAGGTGAGAATATTTTTTAATATTATTTTTCTAAATTTAAAAGTATTTTTAATTGTAACCTTACAAAAGTCTCATTTTTCGTGGAATTAATTTTTATCGCAAAATTAATATTTAAAATAAGAATTTTTAACAGATTAAAAATATAATATGGGTAATTAATTTGATATTTGTATTTTACAATGTTGTATCGTATACGATTAAAAAACCTAAGATAAAAACATGTTTTATTATCAGTTTCTTGTATAATATTTATAAATATTATCCTAGCCAAACATGTTTTTATTTTTTATTTATTTAAATCTCGTTTTCTATGTTGAGTCAAAATGTTGTCCCGTTTCACAAATGTATATTTAAAATAAGTAGATTTATTTACTTAAAAACACAATCTGGCAATGGTGCATATTTAAAAAGCATATTTCGTAGATTATAATTAATAAATATTGCAATAATTATGACATAAACTTTGATAGCATTGGATTTATGGTCACTTAACCACAAATTTTCCAACATAATTTTATTATATTTTATTTTTTGCTTGTATAATATTTTATTTTTATTTTACTGCTATTTTTTTAATGTAATTGGTTCTGTAATTTGATTCCCTGATAGCACAGTTTATTCTAAGAATGTTTTTTAAACCATCCAGTGGGAATATTCTTAGGATCATGCTATATTTCTTCTAGTCATGTTCTAAGAATGTTTTTTAAACCTTCCAGTGAGAATATTCTTAGGATCATGCTATATTTCTTCTAAAGAACATGCTTAAAAGAAATATAGCATAATCCTAAGAATATTCTTACTGGCCTATAGGCAGGTTCTTAGAAGGTGTAAAGTTTAGTGGTAAAAATTAATCCACTCTAAACATATGCTTAGAATGTTGAAAAAGTAATTGCTACAGAAAGTTCATTTAGGAATATTCCTGGAACATTCTGTTAAGCATATTCAGTTCAGTTAGGTACCTATATAATAGTAAAATATACCATAATCTACGTATAAAGGTACCTATACTTAGGATTAAATACTAAGTAAAAAACACAACCCAAAATATTTTTTTTTAGTTATTTGTCAAATTAAAACAATATTCGATAACAAAAATACTTTTACTATAGGTAGTACCTATTAGGTACCTATAGATATATATAGATATAGATATATCTAAATTATCCGGCTTTTACATAAAATCTTCTATCCAACTTAAATACAACGAAAAATGTTTTTTTATGAAGAACTATTTGGTTTTTTCTTTTATGAAGAATTATTTTATAAGGAAATATTTTGTTTTATGTTAAAAATAAATATTTATTAATTTGTATACCGATTTTTTATTTCTGAATTAACATTTTTATGTATGTAATCCTAACTATCTTCAACTTCAATCTAATTTGACTTATCCCACAAAATTTTCCAATTTTACTTTTTATAAAATAATGTCATACAACTAGAGGTCAAATTGTTTATTTAATTTTTTTAAATAAATATATATTAATATGTCGCAAAATTTTTTAAGGGGACGACAAATACATTTCACTGTCATATTATGACAGTGAGGCGTATTTGTCGCCTCCTGAAGAATTTTACGAATGTAGAATCCAACATATTAGAACGTGGGGATCTGACATATTTGGAAATATTCTCAAAAGCTTCCTAGAAGCTCCATAAGAAACCTTCTAAGAACATTCCAAAAACGTATTCTTAAAATGTTCTTAGAATGTTTTTTAGGAAGGTTTTAAGAAGCTTCTAAGAATCTAATTGCATCATTAAAAGGGTATCTATTGAATGTTTTAAAAGTCCCTAAGAACATTCTTAGCAATAAGGGAAGGTTCTAAGAATATTCAATTATTCCGGGTCATATCTTCTTAGAAGATTCTTAGAATCATATTTTGCTATCAGGGTTATTATTATTATTATTATTATTAGGGATGGGATATTTAGGTACTAAAAACTGAAAAATAGGTAACTAAAAAGGTACTAAAAAAAGCATTTTAGGTTAAAAAAACATTAAAAGTTCAAGTTTCTTTTATAATTTTGTTTAGCCGCATACCCAAACACGGAACATACCCACAATAAACTATTTCTATGCAATAAACTGTGTTTCACTGAGTGACACTCACTACACAGAAATTCTATGACAGAACATAAGCTCAATACAAAGAAATACTGTAAAGAAAGTTACTGTTACAGTCTGTGACCCATAGAAATAATTTAAAATAATAGAATAATTTCTATGCTGTGACCATAAGAAAAAATTCTATACCGTTGAGTTGCACGCCCTGGATAAAATATTGGCGGAAAATTTAAAAAGAACACAAAAAAATAAAATAAGTAAAAATACGTAAAAATAGATAACAAATATGTGAAAATAAACTGACAAATTAAAAAATATGTAACAAAAGTATAAAAAGGTAGTTTAAAGCAAAAACCTCCAAAAAAGGTAAAAAAGGTGAAAATTAGTTAAAAAAAATAGGTAAGAAAAGTATAAAAAAGGTATTTTAAAGCAAAAACCTCCAAAAAAGGTAAAAAAGGTGAAAACAAGTTAGGTTCATATAAAAGAAAATCTTTTAAAACACATTTTGGCATTATTGGTTTTCAAATAGTTACATCGGTTGAAAAAAGGTAAAATAACTAAAATCCCATCCCTAATTATTATATATACCCAGTGGGGAAGAAACCTTACAAAATATTGAAGAATATTTTAATTGCTATTTGCATTTACATAAATGAAATCTTACATTTAAAATGTTACACATGATAATTTCCATCAATCTTAGTTTTAAAACCCACCTTAAGATTCATGTATACTTCTGTCATTTCTCTGCCATTCTACGCCTTTTGTTTACATTTAGTCTGCCGTTTCTCTTCCACTACTTTTTGACAGAGAAACAGCAGAGAAAACTCCACGATTTCTATGCCGCGGCATGCCGTCTCTCTGCCACTACTTTTTGGCAGAGGATAACAAAAAAATAGCAGTTTTTGAATTTTTTTTTATTTTAGTTTAATTTAAGTTTTAATGTGCTTCCAACAGGCACGGGCCCAATTACAGGAATACACAGACAAACACAAATAAACCATGCCATGTAATTCGAATCCACGACCTCTCGGCTTGTAGTCCGCAAATCAAAATCAATATATTTCTCAATTAAATAGTTTACAATAAATAAAAAGAGGGTATAATACAAGGCCGCAATGTGGTAATGGGGTTGGCTGTAAAGACTCTTTACTAAAGAGGCGTGTGGTTCCACGGTGGAACTTCCACCTATGAAGCCTCCATGCGGTGGAGATGCGTGGTACGGGTGGTAGCAGCGCAGTCTCCCGAAGGTCTTAATCCTTTGTACAGAGCTCTTTTTAATAGTCTTGGATCTTATCTGACCTTTTCTCGCAGAGCGAATGTGAGGCCAGCTTGATCCGGGTAGAGAGTGAAAGTCTTGAAAAATGGAAGGAAAATGAATGTTGAAGAGTCAGGAGTTTTTCGGGGGGGAAATAATTTAAAAAACCCCCTTACAAAATTTACTACACCACCGAATGTTACATTTAATATGAAATGTTTAGTCATTTAAACATTAAAATTATAATATTAAAAAAATAATTTTCCCTAATAATATTAAAACAACTTTTAAATGAAAAAAAATTACAAATGAAATGCTTGATTTGCTACTTGCATTTAACATAAATGAAATGTTTTAAATTTAAAATCTTACACATGATAATTTTTATCAACCTTAATTTTAAAACTTAAGATTTATATGGAAAGTTTTTGAAATATTAAATTAGTAATATTTAATATGAAATATGGTTAACTATAAGTAGCGATGGGCTGCAATATTTAATTAAAGTTTGCGTCTGATGGCACAGATGGTTTATCTGCGCAATTTAAAGGATTTTCTCAGGACCTACATATACCTTGAGAAGTTCAGAGGACATCCCCTTGCTGAAAAGTTTTAATAAGTATAAGTAAGAGTTTTGAAAGTCTTACTTTCTCTTAAAAACTCTGAATAGGTCTTATTAAGTCGGAAATAATTCTTACAATAGTAAGTCAGACCAATATTGCTATATAGCAAGATTTGGGAGTCTTCTGGAAGACTTAATAAGACTTCTAGCAGGGAAATGGTAGGTATACCGATTAAAATAAATATCCGGAATTATTCAGTGATGTGGTATTTGGTTATTGCAAAAAAAACTCAAAGAAAAGTATTTATAAACACTGTTTTTGTGTTTACCCGTTTAAACATTCTACCCGCAAATATGACGAAAATAGCCGATTTTCGAGTAAAATACTTGCAAACGGCAACACTATGTCGGAAGAAAGATGCAATCATTGGTCAGCTGAGAAAATCGATATTGCGTCTAGAACACATGTTCTTTTTGGAACAATTGTTTGGAACAATGGTTAGATGAATATTTGCGTATTTTAAATAAACTATTAAAATAAAATGTGGCACAGTGGCAACAATGAAAGCAAGTTAAGCGCATCGTATGTAAAAAATTATAATTTTTATAATTATTACACCTTACATAATATGTTTATGTTTATGGAATAATTACCTATATAATAACATATGTAATACATATGTTATTATATAGGTAATTATTCCATAAACTTGGCTTATGACAAAACAGCAAAAATGTTAATAAATACTTTTCTTTGTGTTTTATTTTATAATAACCAAATACAATCTCTCTGAATAATTCCGGATGTTTTTTTTATAGCTAAACCTAGCTAGGTACCTATAGGTAAATGGTAGGTATATAATTTCTCTTCTAAAAGTCCTATTAAGTCTTATTAACTCTTCCAGAAGACTCCCAAATATTAATTGCTATTATTCTGACTTACTAAGACTTATTCAGACTTAGTAAGTGTTATTCTGACTTTTTCCAACTCAATAAGTCTTAATAAGAGTTTTTAAGAGAAAGTAAGACTTTCAAAACTCTTATTTTTACTTATTAAAACTTTTAGAGAAAAAGGGCCCTCATGAAGAAAAACGTTATTTTTGGCCGGCAACTAAACTATATACATAGCCGACACTTGGCTGACTATATATAGCCGACACTCGAGTGTCGGCCGATCGGCTAGGTGGAAGTTACCCGACAGTTGGCCAGGCGGACATGCCTGGTCTATATGACGAATCTTATACGTGATACGTAAAATGTCTTGGCCCCACAAGGAAAAGCTTTCAAAAAATTACAGACAAATTAGAGTCGACTTGATCAATGACAAAGAAGGGGCATTTTGCTCAAAATTGAACGAATCTGAATGTTTGCATATCGAAAAAAAAATTATTTACAATATCGCAAAAACAAGAGCTTATTAAGCAAACTTATGGTCATACTTTAAATCCGCAGACCCAAATTATCCATATAAAGGTTAATTTTTACCCTACAGCAGAATGGCTATTTACCAGTGATACATATATGTATGTATCAATTGAAACATATTGATACAATATATCAATATATATAGGTATATATATTTATTTAAGTGGTTAAAAAAATTAAAAAAGAAATATTACATTGAAAAATAATGGTATTTCAATTTGTTTATAATAATATAACGTTTAATAATAGTTATTTATGTATTAAGGGCATAAAAAGGTTTTTATGGTCCGAGGCGCCATTTCGAGCCCGAGCGCGTTGCCGCGAGAATTGCCGGCTGTAATACGGCCTTAAAGGCCGTATTACAGCCGGCAATTCTTTCGGCAATTGCAATGAAAATTGCCACATGCGCGGTTGAGACATTTCGACGAATCTCTTGCAATTGCCGAAAATCGGTCCGGATGGATTTTTATTGCCGTTTTACGGCAATTCTGGGGTGAAATCTGGTAACTTTTATGTTACCAACCCTACTACAAATCCCCTAGAGAGACGCTGTTTGACTTAAACAGTTTAAGGTTATTTGTTTTATGATTGGCATTGTGTTCAAAGTTCTAGTATCCATTTCACTCATTAATTTTTAAATATCTCCACTAAATAACAAATAAACTTAGTGTTTACAAAATCGTATATTTTTCTTCGGTTGGTAGCACGGTAATAAACAGCAAGTTTTCTTGCCATTGCCGGCTGTAAAACAACATGCAAGACGGCCTTAAAAACTAGATGGCAAGAAAAATTGCTGCAAGAAAAATTGCTGCAAGAAGAATTGCCGGCTGTAATACGGCTTTTAGCGCGAGGGCTAGAAAAGCGTCGTAGGACCATAAAAACCAGTTATGCCAGCAATGCATACAAAACTTTATGCACGATTAATATGTTATTATTTTTAATATAATATTGTTTTTAAAGACGTTTACGTCAAAGAATTTTTGTTATAATTGTCATATTATAATGTCAACTGACATAAGTCAGTTTTAAAGTTTAAAGATGAATGAAATTAAGGAAGCAGCTGAAAAGGCGAAAAATTGCGGCCTGCTGCCGGAAAAATCAAAATCTTTATACGAAAAAACTTACTTCGACTATTCCACTCATTACTTTTTGGACCAATCAGATTTCAGAAAACGAGTGGTTTTTTCAGTTTTGCAGCGATAAAACTACTATTCAGGTGAAAAAACCACTCGTTTATACGAGTTGCATAACAACCAATTGGTTGCTATGATAAAAATAATTGTCACTGTTAACGTTTTTAATTTTAAAATTAAAATGTTAAAAAATATGCGTTTTGGTCCAAAAAATCATACAGAAATTGAATCAGCAGTTAAAAATATTCGTGAAATAGTCTTGCCGAATACCACTCGTGATAAAATTTTCCCTGAAAAAATTTTTGATTTTTATTTACTCAAGATTTTTCCTTGGAAATTTCGCTCGTGTCATTAACTTCAAACCACTCGCCTAGCGGCTCGTGGTCTTAAAAATTAATGCCACTTGCGAAATTTCCAAGAAAAAAACATTCGTATAAAAATCAAAAATTTTATCGGTAAAATTTTACCACTAGTGGTATTATATACGAATATATCAAATGGTGTAACATTGTTGTTTTTAATTTTTGACGTTTCATTAGAGCCCGCTGAGTCATAATAACGCCCGCGGGCTATAAAAAGACGTTTACGTCAAAGAATTTTTGTTATAATTGTCATATTATAATGTCATCGTGCATAAAAAGTATTTATACTAATTATTAATTAATAGTATTAATAGTATTAATAATATATAATTATAATTATATATAATAATATAACGTGTAATAAAAAGTATTTATACTAATTATTAATTAATAGTATTAATTATATACTTACCCAGTAAACATTCGTGAATTCACAATGGATTCACATAAAGGCATTTTCAATTCATTTCACTTCATCGTGGATTCAGGGTGCCCTCAGATGACGACAAAATATGAAGTCACTGTGAATTCATATGGATTCATTTTACGTTCATATGAATTCACGAGTGGATTTCGGATGAACCTATATGAATTCACCGTGACTTCATAAATTAAGGGTATCTGAAGGTACTGTGAACCTAGTATATATAGTGTATACTATATAGATTTATTCAAAAGTGTATAATTATTACTATTTTTAGTAAATATTAATATAGAGTAATAATAATTATTATAATAATAGTAATAATTATATACTTCTGCATTATTAATAATGCAAAAGTATAAAAAAAACATATATTTTGATAAAAAAATAAACATAAATTCTTAATAAGAAATAAAAAAGTATAAAAAAATAAAAAAAATAACATAAATATGTTATATATAAATAAAAATTAATATGTTATACATAAATAAAAATTAATTGTTAAAAAAACAATTATGATTACAAAGATACAGATACGGATCTATCTGTATCCGTATCTGTATCGGACGACTCTTCAAATGACTCCACGCTTTTTTCGACATCGGCCCGTTGTTCGACATCGGCCCGTTGTTCGACATCGGTCCGTTGTTTGACATCGGCCTGTTGTTGTTCCGTTCCATTTATCTGTATGAACGAAATTTTTAAATATTAGACAACTACCTGAATCACTATGATATGTTATCTTACTTGGGTCCTTAGCTTTCGGATTCTTTGTCTGGTGTCCTTGAAAACAGCCTGCATATGACGGGAAAACATTGCTACCCTTTTATTTTCCTCGCATCCACAAAATAAATTACATTTATATTGATTTATACCTACACTTACCTTTGATGATAATTATCAAACACAAACATAAATAATTACTTCCTCATGAAATTTTCCTGGTTTGTTCTATGATTTCCTTCTCGTCGCAAACTACGTAGTTAGAAGACTATTGCGCATGTGTAGTACACACAACATGTGTACTGTAATACGAGGGTATGTCGAATGATACCTACAGGTGTTAATAAAAAAGCTTTGTTAAATCTGAAATATGTAATTTCCGTGGTAACCAAACTTTCATAATATGATATTCAGCCGCATTTACTAAGCAAATTAATTTGCTTTTCGTCTTAGGTGATGTATGGGTACATTTGTTTGAATTTATCTTAATTACAAAATGACATAATTAACAATTATTAATAATTATAATTATAATTAATTATTATTGTTAATTGGGTCATTTTGTAATTAAGATAAATTCAAAGATGTAATTAAGGTAAATGCAAATCAATGTATACATATCGCTATAGCGACTTAAGTCGCTATATACAAACATTTTTGTATACATGTATGATGCATCGCTATAGCGACTTTTTTTGACAGAATCTGGTAACACCTGCTGCAGCAGTACTGCGGTGGGATCCATGCTCACTTCACATAAATTCACATCAGCGTAATTTTGTAAATTCCACGGCCGTGAACAAAATGCGGATCCACGTAAACTTCACCAAGATTCACATGAACTTAATGGGTTAATAAATTCCACGGTCGTGAACTGGAAGTGAATCAATCGTGGATCCAGGCGAAGTTCACATAACTTCACATCAGCGTCATTTCATAAATTCCACGGCCGTGAACTGGATGTGAATAAAAAGTGGATCCACGCAAAGTTCATGTCAACTTCATTTAGTAAATTCCACGACCATGAACTGGAAGTGTATCAATCGTGGATCCAGGCGAAGTTCACATAACTTCACATCAGCGTTATTTCATAAATTCCACGGCCTTGAACTGGATGTGAATAAAAAGTGGATCCACGCAAAGTTCATGTCAACTTCATTTAGTAAATTCCACGGCCATGAACTGGAAGTGAATCAATCGTGGATCCAGGCAAAGTTCACATAACTTCACATCAGCGTCATTTCATAAATTCCACGGCCGTGAACTGGATGTGAATAAAAAGTGGATCCACGCAAACTTCACGTCAACTTCATTTAGTAAATTCCACGGCCGTGAACTGGAAGTGAATCAATCGTGGATCCAGGCGAAGTTCACATAACTTCACATCAGCGTCATTTAATAAATTCCACGGCCCTGAACTGAATGTGAATCAATTGTGAATTCACGCGAAGTTCACATTAACTTTATTTCGTAAATTCCACGACCTGAACTGAATGTGAATAAATCGTGGATCCATGCGCGCTTCAGTTGGGTTCACATTCGCGTCATTTAGTTAAATCCACGGCTGTGAACTCCATATGAACCCCTTCTGAATTCACGCGGACTTCACATGGACTCACATTTGTATCATTTGGTAAAATTCACGGCTGTGAACCGAATGTGAATCAGTTGTGGATTCACGAATGTTGACTGGGTAGATAGATAGATAATGCCATTAACATAATCTTAGATGTTTATCCAATGTATAAAGTAAAAATTATAAAGGGTATTTTAAAATTTTTCATTTTTGCAGATGAAATAAGAAGACAATTTGAAAATGCTGGTGTTAAAATGATTGTGACGGTGCCAATTCTTTTGGAAGTCGCCACTACAATAGGACCTTTATTGCCGAAATACAACTCGACCATATGCATAGGAGGTGAAGACGATCCAGCCAATAACGTCCATGGACTTATGAGTCTATTAACAGCAGGATACGAAAGCGAGTTGCCCGGTATAAGTCCAAGAGAATTGGCACTTTTACCTTACTCCAGTGGCACCACTGGACTTCCAAAGGGTGTGATGCTTTCACATCACAATTTGGTTTCTAACTTGGTGCAAGGAGATCATCCAGCTTTAATGGACAAACTTACAAAAGGTACGTTGATTTGACCAATTTATATATTATACACAATAAGAACTGCAGACCTGGCGTACATACACATGTAAATTAGCTTTTTAGTAATTAATTACTATCAATGAGCATTAAATTTCATTTTCACCCCCAAGTACATTTGTTTTGGTAAACTAAGGTACATGTTGCGACTTCTCTTACTTAAACTGCCCCTTTTGGTTGAAAATTCTCTCATATAATGGGGATGCGCATAATGACTGCAACAACACGTTCACGACAGTTTGTCTTATCGGGTCTTTAGATGCATCTGATTTATAAAAATATTTTTTAAGTATAAACTGGTGTAGTTTGTTCCTAAAGGTATGTACTAAGACATCTAAAATCTATTTTGGTATTATCTACACCTAAACCGTATAAAACATTCGATGTACATGCATGTGAACATCCTGAAATTATCCTGAAATTTCACAATTAAGATTTTTTAGCATTAAATATGTGTTATTTAGGTCCTTATTCGATAGATTTAAGAGCCATTTATTTTTATTATCGTCGTAAAATAATTCAGGTCTAAAGTGTTAAGCTATCATCAAATATAAAAATACAATTGGGAGCAGGTTGTATTACATTATCTAGCATTTCACATTATATGTATTGTTTGGAGCTTTTAAACTGTTATTTTAAATATTTAATAAAAAAACTGAAAAGGAAAAGGTCATGGAACTAAGAAAAAAGAAACTTCGGTTAAAAATAATCTACCTATAGGCAAAATATATTTTCAATAATTTAAAAATCAGTTTTCAGGCTTTTTAAAACCAGAAAGAACTTAAACCTGAAATACTGTTTTTTTTTTGTCTCCTATAAAATTTTGATAAAATGATTTGTTTTAGAGATAATTTGTAAAGTATGGGTCAGTCCATATCAAATTTTCGAAATTTAATTTTTTTTTGAAAAAATTTAGGTCATGTGATATATCATAAAAAAGGTCTCTAATAGGCCTTTAAAATAAGCCTTTCTACTTTTAATAGTTTACGAGATATCGCTATTTTTGGAAGTACTTGCAAGACCCAAATTTATCGGAATTTTTTGATTTTTAAAAATCAATAAAACAAAAACCACCTATCGAAAAAAATTCATATATGGGATTTTTGAGTTTTTTAGTGAGGTACACAAATTTACCAAAAATTATCAAAATCGGAGATGGTGGGGGAAGAACCTTTGGTTGATTTGATATGGACTGACCCATACTTTACAGATTATCTCTAAAACAAATCATTTTATCAAAATTTTATAAGAGACAAAAATTTTTTAACAATAAATGATTACCTGAAAAAATACCGTTTGGAAGTCATTGGCGCACGTACTAAAAAATAGGGGGAGTAAGTGAGTACTGGACCCCCCCAATTTTGATTATTTGACAATTGTTTTTTGTTTTGTTGGTCTCAAAAAATTTAACTATTTATGTTGAAGTAGTGTACCGAATTTGAACTTAATATCTTATCAATTACTCGAATTATTAAAAAAATCAGTTTTAAATTTCAAACATTGTCGCCCTGTATATCGAACATGAAGCTCTAAATTGAAAAATGCTATTATGGTTAACGGATTGACCTCCTTTTCCCGGACACCCTGTATATACATATACAGGGTGAGTCAGAAGTAGGTGCATTAATTTAAGGAGGTGATTCTACAGATTATTTTGAGTCGTTTGAACCCCATATTGCCTTATCCAAAAGTTATTACTAATAACTTATTAGTTTTGGAGTTATTTGATTTTTTGTGATTTTGGTAAAAAATCGTGTCCAGGTTTACATTTTTTAAAATTTCTTGATAAGAATTAAAGTTAATTAAACGATTCTTTTTTTAGTAGTTAGCCCATGTATTGGTACATGCCACATAGTAATAGTTTTTCCAAAAAAGCCATATGGAACTTCAGAACAACAGTATAAAATAAAATTTTATTCGCGAATTTGGAAGACTTGTTAAGTTCATCAGGATTTTTTTTTTAATTTCACTATACACTTTGCGTGCAAATTGTTTAAAAAACTTTTTTAATGTATTACCTTTCGAATGATGTATAATATGCCAATAAAAACTATTATTTTTAGGTAGAAAATGTCACCTGTGTAAAACACACACCGGTTTTAGTTTAAGCTAACAATTCACGATTAGTAGTAAGTAAAATACTAAAGTGTTAAGTTAACATTTATTTATTAAAATATTACTAAATAAAGGTCTACAGAAAATTCTCAAAGTGTCCGCCATCATGTCTAATGCAAGCTTGTGCCCTTTTTCTGATTTCACCGCGAGTAAGTCGATTATCTAAGTTGTTTCTTAATTCTATTGTCGCGTCTTGTATCCTTTCCATTAACTGGTCTCTGTTTAATATTTCAACTGCATAGACCTTTTCTTTCATGTGTCCCCACACATAAAAATCTAAAGGTGTTAAATCAGGGCTCCTTGGTGGCCATAATGCTATAATGGGCTGGGCATCCATCGTGTTGGAAAACATTTCAATCCTATTTGCTAATGGAACATCATCCATTAATTCTGGCAATACGTTATTCAAAAATTCCCCATAAGCTTCACCATTCAAATTATCTGGCAAAAATTGAGGACCGATTAATGTACTGCCAATTACACCCATCCACACATTTACCTTAAATTTTCTTTAAAAACTAGTTCTTTTCTTATGTGGATTATCCTGTGCCCAGAAGTGTAAATTGTGAAAGTTAGTAATACCTTTTCTACTAAATTTAGACTCATTAGTCCACAAAACTCTAGACAAGAACCTGGGATTATCAATATCTGCATTTAATAAATATCTGCAAAAGCTGATTCTTCGTTGGGGATCACCTTCCTCTAGACCCTGGACAGGTGTATAATGAAATGCATGCTGGCCTGAACGTTTCATTACACGAGCAACCTTGCTTTGTGTTAAACCCAACTCAGAAGCTACTTTTCTTGTGCTGGTAGTTGCTAACTACCAGCACTAGTTGGATCTTCAAATCTTTCTAGAATGTCTTCATCAACATTTACATTAACTTCAGGAGCTCCAATGCGTGGTCTTGGTATAACAGTGCCGGTTTCAGCTATACGACGATATGTTGTACTGAATACTCTTTCATTAGGAACGCGTTTTTGTTGGAACCTTACTTGATATTCTTGTCAAGCTTCGGCTGCGTTTCCATTACAAAATCCATATACAAACATAATATCAGCGTATTCAGCATTTGAAAAGTTTGGCATGTTGAATTAATATGAATTAAACCTATAATATAATATAATGTGACCTGAACAACAAATGGGGCTACTGGGCCTAAACCCGAGCAAGGTCAGCAGGACCTTTTACCCTTTCTCTTGGATAGGAGTGGTGTGCAATGGGTTTGGTGGTGAGGGGAACCTTTATTTCGCAATAATTTAAATACACAATTCCTGATACCTCAAGAATAGTTAATACCTAATAATTATTATTCCAGGTAAAATTTTCTTTAATTTGCTTCCATATTGGTTAAATTTTACCTTTAATAATACAAATAATACATCAAGACCCACTACTACCTGGAACTGTTAATCCTAGGGTGAACTAAAACCTGTATGTGCCTTACAAAGGTGACATTTTCTATCCAAAAATAATAGTTTATATGGACATATTATACATCATTCGAAAGGTAATACATTAAGAAAGTTTTTTAAACAACTTGCACGCAAAGTCTTCCAAATTCGCGAATAAAATTTTATTTTATACTGTTGTTCTAAAGTTCCATATGGCTTTTTTGGAAAAACTATTACTATGTGGCATGTACCAATGTATGGGCTAACTACTAAAAAAAGAATCATTTAATTAACTTTAATTCTTATCGAGAAATTTAAAAAAATGTAAACCTGGACACGATTTTTTACCAAAATCACAAAAAATCAAATAACTCCAAAACTAATAACTTTTGGATAAGGCAATATGGGGTTCAAACGACTCAAAATAATCTGTAGAATCACCTCCTTAAATTAATGCACCTACTTCTGATTCACCCTGTATATATTTGCATAAAATTCTCAAGAAACTAACTAACGCAAAGAAAGAAAAGTTCTTAGTAATGTATAAACTATTAAACAGTTTTCTTTTAATTTTTAGATGGAAAACGACAAACAATTTTTACAGTGCTGCCATTCTTTCATATTTTTGGCTTTAACGGTATCATGAACTTGAGTTTAAGAGATGGCCAACATCTTATAACAATTCCCAGGTTTACACCGGAGGATTACATTAAAACTTTGATCGAGTACCGCCCTTCCTTTTTGTTTGTAGTTCCCTCTTTACTTTTGTTTTTGGCAACGCACCCGGCTGTAACAAAAAAACATTTGGCTTCCATTGAGGGTGTTCAATCTGGAGCAGCACCATTAACGGAGGGTTTGCTTCAAAAGTTCAGAGAAAAGATTGGTAGAACTGATATTATTATTAGACAAGGTATGTGAAATGTTGAGTGGATTTTGGAAAAATGAACAAATTAAAATGATTTTTCTTCAGGTTATGGTATGACAGAAAGCTCCCCAGTTACATTTTGTATGCCAAAATTAACTCCTCCTTCTAAAATTGGTACAATCGGCATTCCATATCCCGGAACTGAATCAAAAATTATAAGTTTAACGTCAGGGGAAGTTCAGGGTACCCACAAATCAGGCGAACTTCTTGTTAGAGGACCACAGGTAAGTTTTATAAATTGTTTATTTAATTTATATTTATATTTTTATTAATTTTATTTAGATAATGATGGGTTACTTAAACAATGAAGAGGCAACTGCTGAAACAATTGATGAAGACGGGTGGTTGCATACAGGAGACGTGGCATACTATGACGAAGATGCATATTTTTACATTGTAGATAGATGCAAGGAACTTATTAAAGTTAAAGGAAATCAGGTACGAGTTTTTCAGGGTTTTTGTTAAAATACAGGGTGCACCAAGTACCCTTCTATGAGTATTTTTTTTATTTATAGCTCGGTCGGTTTTATATTAAAGACGAGTTGCGTAATTAAGTCTATTAAAATGACATTAAAAAAAACTAGCGGTTTTTAAAGTATTTAAAAAAACTAAAAACCTTTCAAAACCAAAAATCGTGATAAATTCGTTATTTTTGTAAATTTAGAAAAAAAGCAACTTTTACATGTGAACATATACATTTATTTTCATTTTCATTAATTTCTTCGCTACTTTATTTTGAGTTACCATTATCATCTTTTGTTTTAATAAACGTATATACCTATATAGGAAACTTTTTCCTAAATATTTTTTTTATAAAAATACAAACAGTAGGTACTTTTTTTGTAAAAAAATCTTAGCTAATATTAGTCATTTTTTTAATTAAAAGTAACGGAAGACCTTGCGGCAATTTTAATTTCATATTTCATATTTTTTTTTAAGAAAGCTGAGAATTTTTTTACATAAAATATGGAATTTTTACGATAGGGATATTTTTTCCCGTAAATTTTGTTCAATTTTGTCTTATTATCTGAAATTATAATATACATATGGGGCAAAACACGCCAAGTGTTCCCACTAAAAACTTAAGTTGTTTCCGATTTTTATGAAACTTTGCTAAATCATTGTAAAAGTAAAAGGGCAGCGGAAAAGACTGACGGGTTGCAGATATACAGGGGCTTGAAATTTTTCTTTTTTTTGTGAGAGTTTTTTTAGTAGTAACAAAACATAAATTACTTTTTTTTAAATCGACAAATGATATCGATGCTTATTTAACAAAACATCGTAAGCGACAATTTTGTTGAATTACTTTTTATTTTATCACAGTGTCAGTTACGATAAGCTGCACATGTTAACATAATAGTTATCCCAATGTTGGAATCTAATATTGGTCAGTTTGAATATTTTTATTATTGTAAGCGCCTCTTCTTTTTAATTTGTTACCGATTTATAACGTAAGCGCCTATATGTTCCCGACAAATAATCGTAAGCAACTCCGAGACATGGCGTTTGCGATTTAACATTGTGTCGCTTACGATAATATTGTGCTCCCGCCTTGATCTATCAAGGCGTTATTCCCGCTCTAAACAGTTTATTCGTGAGTATACCTGCATCGTGGTATTGCTACCCTATTGAAAATGCCATATAGAACCCATATTGAATCCGATAAGGAAACGTATCTGGTTCTATATGGTTTTATATATAACCTATAGGTCCTATATGGAAAGTCCTGGTTAACATTACGGATTCTATATGGTTGAATATGGATTTCTATTTTAAAAATTTTCATATTCAACCATATAGGGAAACCTATCTGGAAATACATATAGAACAGAAACCAGATAAATCCATATACAACCATATACATGTCTTTATAAAGACATGTATATGGATGTATATCCCTGCTTAAAATACCCCATAGAGACCTATACAAAATAATCTATCGGGCGCTACCGGATTCAATATGTGCATTTGTCCATGGTTTTTTCCGGATACGGCCCGATAGAAAATGTATAGGAAATTACCTATAGGCACACCATAACTTTTACATTTTCCCTGTTGAGACCGATAGCAAATAACTCAATGAAGGGTATATAGGGATATCCCTATAGAGCAACCTTAAAACATTTGACATAATTTAATTAAAACCTATGGGGTCCTATAGGGAAAAAACTAATTTCTACATTTATGTGTATTTTCCCCATTGAAACCGATAGCAAATAAATCAAGGGTGGATATCCCTATAGAACAACGATAAATCTCAACTATGGGTCCTATACAAACCGATACACCCTATAGAAACACCATACATCCCGATACAAATATCTATCGGTTTGAACAGGGTCTCTATGGAGTATTTTAAGCAGGGATGGATTTATCTGGTTTCTGTTCTATATGTATTTCCAGATAGGTTTCCCTATCTGGTTCTATAGTGTTTTAGAGTGTTTTTATCTGGTTCTATAATGTAATCTTCTATCTGGTTCTATAGTGAAATGCCTGTTTCAAATACCTATATTGAACCAGATAGAAACCATATAGAATCCAGATACGGGTTTTTTATATGGTTGTATATGGCATTTTCAATAGGGTACCAAGTTTTAAAACAATATTTTATTTGATCAAAAGCTTATAATTCCTTTTTTCATTGCATTATTAATAGTTATCCTAATTATAATTGTTTTTACGTATTGTGGTTCGTTAAAAGTGTTTTTTGTAGTAATTGTATGTTGTTATAGCGTCAAATAATTTGACTCAAATTTATAACGGTTAGATCATGGAGCCTACACAAACAAGAATCTTCCTAAGATAAGAGTGGTGTTCCGTTTTTTCTGAAACAATTTGTACCGAAACGCTAGCATCGACAATCAGCGCCGCTGGTGGTAAAAAAAAGAAACTTAATTTGTACAATTTAGAGGGCTGGTTTTGTCAATTTCCCCTATTAAGTTCGGGCTCCTTGTGTAGGCTCCATGGGTTAGATACTGGTTTGTGAATTAAAATCGTTCGTTTTTTTTCAAAGAAAGATAATGTAGAATTTTATTTTCAATCATTTTTTGGCAAAATCGAGGGCAAAATTTCGTTGGTGATATTTTATAAATTATTTTTTTTGTATTTTTTTTATTTAATAATAAAAGTAAAAAATAAATGTCGCTAACGATGTTTTGACAAAAGTAATCATCAAATCTATATCCCACAAAGTAACGTAAATGTTACGGGAATGTTAAGGGACAAGACTAATTTTACATTTTACTAAAGATATTCTTATAAAATATCGTATGCCACAAAATTTAATGAAAATTTTAGATTGGATTCGATCTTACTTAAATATTTAAAATTCTACATTAATAAAATAATGCCTCACCAGTTTTCAGATAAATAACATTAAAAATAAAGCTCCCACACAAAAAAAATCTCTTCTGTAAAATTTAGGTTTTGTCGCTTACGATGTTTTGTCAAATAACCATCGATATATCCTATATCTTCTTTTTCGTGCTTTAAGATAGAGGTAGTTTCAAAAGCGAAACAAAATTTTGTGGCTAAGAAAAATTGATATAAAAAATATTTTTACTTTTTTCTCAAAATGGGACCAGCATTGGTACATCGGTAGTTTATTATTTAAGTGTTAATTAATGTAAATTGTACACGAAAAATAAACACCTAATTAATAACATATTCCATTTTGAATATTTGCATGTCCTACGCAAAATAATACCATAATTTAATAATTAAAATTTTAAAATCTATTTAGGTATACCTAACTTAAAACATTATAACTTAAAACATTTAAACATAAACTATTTTACTTTATTAAAAAAAAACAGAATATTCCGCATCAAACGATATTTACATTATGTACATACTAGGGTGTCATTTTTAAGCAACTTTTTTTTTCAACTAAAAAACAGGCTAAAAACTTTTAGGAAGGTGAAAAAGAAACCTCTAAAAATTTCAGCTCTTAATATTAACATTAAGTGTAAGTGGTGCCTGTTCCTAACTTTCCATTTTCCATTTAAATAACATGGACATTTTTTTTTCTGTTTTCTTTTTTTTGTATATTGACATTTAAACATTGTAAAAACGAACTGAAAAATTATTTTGGTAGGAAATTGAACGCTCTACAAAAAAGTACTAATTTATTTTTAAGCCGTTCTGAAGGTGTTCAAACTTGCAAATGTATGAAATTATGACTTTTATTTTATTAAAATTATTTTAAGAAAAAATAATTATTTTCGTATAGAAAGAAAATAACACTTACATCTCAATTTTTTTCCATTTTATTTTATTTACTATCAAAAAAAGTTATATGTGTTCAATAAATTTGTTCAATAATTACAATAGATTAAATAAAACAATGAATTTGTTATTGTATTGAATTTTTAATCTTTCTTTATTTTTTATAATTTTAAAGTCGATAACTCTGATAAAAGATTATATTGGTTCAGTCGGTATATTACCTTTCGGATTACACGGTGACTAGAGGCACGCTAACGTGCCGCGATTCGAAATGTTAAAGGCAACTTTAAGTTTGAATACCTTCAGAACGGCTTACTCTATGAAAAAATATATTGAAACTTTTTTGTAGAGCGTTCAATTTCCTACCAAAATAATTTTTCAGTTCGTTTTTACAATGCTCAAATGTCAAGCTACAAAAATAAGAAAAAAGAAAACAAATTTTTCCATGTTATTTAAATGGAATATGGAAAGTTATGAACAGGCACCACTTAATGTTAATATTAAGAGCTGAAATTTTTAGAGGTTTCTTTTTCACCTTCCTAAAAGTTTTTAGCCTGTTTTTTAGTTGAAAAAAAAAGTTGCTTAAAAATGACACACCCTAGTACATACTATGTAATTCTTTTTCGGCCGGAACGAATTAATGGTATTTTTGTGACCCTGGAACTCCTTTTGCAGCACTAAATCGCTGTTTTAAAAATTCAGCTGCTCTAATATGCTAAATTCTACAATTTAAGTAACCTTTTAAAATTTAAATAAACTTGCCTTGCCTATAGACTATAGTCAAATTAAAACTTATAAAATTCACACATCATTTATCAAACTTTAAATAGGATTAAATTACCGAATACGTATGTTATGGAATGTAGTAATTATTAGTTTAATAAGTGTGAACAAGATTATTGTTAATGTATAAAATAATAAAATATAATATTGTATAATTAATAAATTATCCCCATGTATGGTAAATAGACAACAAATAATACACAAGACCCATATAAATCCAATAGGTAATCTAACAATTTGCCATGATTTTTCATTCTCTTTTGATGAAGTCTCATTTAATGAAGTTAGAGATATAATCGACAACCTTAAAAACAAACGCAGTTCTGATATATTTGGTCTTAGCCTAAACATTATTAAAACTGTTAAAAACCTAATAGTGGTGCCACTAACAAAACTAATTAATTTATGTTTTGGGCAGGGTATATTCC